GCCTTTCTAAAATTTTAACAATGAAAGGAATTCGCAAGAGCAGGCGAAATATACACAAACACTGATCTCTGGCTGAAGGAGACTCGAACCTACGAACCTTGGAACAAGGTACGCAGTCCCTTACCATTCTCACCACACTGGACCAATACCTTGGCGTCCGGCTTGCGCTAGACAGGTGATATCAGATTATATGAAAGTCAAAGCGCTTTCGTGACTTCTCACATTATCAAGGAACCATAACAACAATACATCAAAGGAAGGCATATAAAGGGTCGAGACCACACCTCACCATCACATCCCACAACAAAGAAACACCTGACGTGTGACGACACCTGACTCATAAGTGAGGAGGAACACTGCAGCAGGCCTGTTGGCCCATACTAGGCAGGTCCTTCGCAATCCATCCCACTAACAAAATATTTGCCCAAGAATTAAGATTTATTATTTGTTTAATGTATTATTAAAATTTTCCCAAATTTTATTAATTATGAATGAATCTAATATATATAAACCAAAGGAAATATTCATATCATTGTCAAAACTGCTTTTTATGAAACAAGATTCAATTATATTCCTGTCGACCATGGACTTGCTTGATACTACTTTCTCAACTTTTTGAAAATCAATTGGATGGTTAAAATCTCTTATATGAATAAATAGAGCATTGGAATCTTGTCCAGTTCTAATGCTATATTTATGATGTTTTAATCTAAGTTCGAGACTTTTACCAGTTTGACCGTAATAAACTTTATCGCAAATTTTACAAAGAATCTTATAGACACATCCGTCAGCATTTTGGGGGGGATTCTTTATCAAAAGTTTTTGTATCAAGATTTTTAAATACAACTTTGATATAAAAAGTCTAAAGAATTCTGAGAAGGCATATCAACCAAGTTTTCATGGTAAGGGAGAACCAACATATTTTTACTTGAATAAGGTTGGTTGTCCCTTTTTGGATTATAAAAAAAATATTTCTAGCAATTTTAAAAGTTTTATCAATTACGTTTCTCGGGTAATTCAGATGAATGGCTATTTCATAAATTTTGGATATTTCTTCATCTATGAACTCTGGACTACAAATACGTAAAGCTCTCAAAAACATTGATGAGAAAACAGACAGTTTAACTTTATCTTGATGGGACGAATAATAGTGTACATAGGAACAGTTATTTGTAGGTTTTCTGTAAATTTTAAATTTGAAGTCATTATTACCCTTAATAATTAAAACATCTAGAAAAGACAGTGAGTTATTTTCCTCAAACTCAACAGTAAAGTTTATAGAATGGGCTAAGCTATTTAATTAAACAAGGAAATGGTGTATATCTACATTCTTATACATAAGACACAAAATATCATCAACATATCTGAACCATTTAGCTCTATTACGGAGGATTGTGTTAAGCAATCTTGTTTCAAAAAATCCCATGTATAGGTTACTAAAAAACAGGTGAAGAGGATTTCCATTGCCATACCAAACTTCTGAGTGTAAAAACTTATCATTAAATACAAATTTTGCATCAACAATGCAAAGTTCAGTAAGTTTAATGATAGTGGGAAAACTGGCAATGGTAATCATTAGTTATCAAGTTCTTCAGTTAAGAAACTTAGTAAATCACGATGGATATGAGATACACAATAAAACTAGCCACTACCATTCACAGGATGGATATGAGATACACAATAAACTAGCCACTACCACCCACAGGATGGATACAAGGTACACAATAAACTAGCCACTACCATCCACAGGATGGATACAAGATACACAATAAACTAGCCACTACCATCCACAGGATGGATACGAGGTACACAATAAACTAGCCACTACCATCCACAGGATGGATACGAGGTACACAATAAACTAGCCACTACCATCCACAGGATGGATACGAGGTACACAATAAACTAGCCACTACCATCCACAGGATGGATACGAGGTACACAATAAACTAGCCACTACCATCCACAGGATGGATATGAGATACAAAAATAAACTAGCCACTACCATCCACATGATGGATACGAGGTACACAATAAACTAGCCACTACCATCCACAGGATGGATACGAGGTACACAATAAACTAGCCATACCATCCACAGGATGGATACGAGGTACACAATAAACTAGCCACTACCATCCACAGGATGGATACGAGGTACACCAATAAACTAGCCACTACCATCCACAGGATGGATACAAGGTACACAATAAACTAGCCACTACCATCCACAGGATGGATATGAGATACACAATAAACTAGCCACTACCATCCACAGGATGGATACGAGGTACACCAATAACTAGCCACTACCATCCACAGGATGGATACGAGGTACACAATAAACTAGCCACTCCCATCCACAGGATGGATACGGAGGTACACAATAAACTAGCCACTACCTCCACAGGATGGATACGAGGTACACAATAAACTAGCCACTCCATCCACAGGATGGATATGAGATACACAATAAACTAGCCACTACCATCCACAGGATGGATACAAGGTACACAATAAACTAGCCACTAGCATCCACAGGATGGATATGAGATACACAATAAACTAGCCAACCATCCACAGGATGGATACAAGGTACACAATAAACTAGCCACTACCATCACAGGATGGATACAAGGTACACAATAAACTAGCCACTACCATCCACAGGATGGATACGGGGGTACACAATAAACTAGCCACTACCACTCCACAGGATGGGATAGAAGGTACACAATAAACTACCCACTACCATCAACAGGATGGATACGAGGTACACAATAAACTAGCCACTACCATCCACAGGATGGATACAAGGTACACAATAAACTAGCCACTACCATCCACAGGATGGATACGAGGTACACAATAAACTAGCCACTACCATCCACAGGATGGATACGAGGTACACAATAAACTAGCCACTACCATCCACAGGATGATACGAGGTACACCAATAAAACTAGCCACTACCATCCACAGGATGGATACAAGGTACACAATAAACTAGCCACTACCATCCACAGGATGGATACGAGGTACACAATAAACTAGCCACTACTATCCACAGGATGGATACAAGGTACACAATAAACTAGCCACTACCATCCACAGGATGGATACGAGGTACACAATAAACTAGCCACTACCATCCACAGGATGAATACGAGGTAGACAATAAACTAGCCACTACCATCCACAGGATGGATACAAGGTACACAATAAACTAGCCACTACCATCCACAGGATGGATACGAGGTACACAATAAACTAGCCACTACCATCCACAGGATGGATACAAGGTACACAATAAACTAGCAACTACCATCCACAGGATGGATACGAGGTACACAATTAAACTAGCCACTACCATCCACAGGATGGATACAAGGTACACAATAAACTAGCCACTACCATCCACAGGATGGATACGAGGTACACAATAAACTAGCCACTACCATCCACAGGATAGAAAACGAGGTACACAATAAACTAGCCACTACCATCCACAGGATGGATACAAGGTACACAATAAACTAGCCACTACCATCCACAGGATGGATACGAGGTACACAATAAACTAGCCACTACCATCCACAGGATAGATACGAGGTACACCAAAATAAACTAGCCACTACATCCACAGGATGGATACAAGGTACACAATAAACTAGCCACTACCATCCACAGGATGGATATGAGATACACAATAAACTAGCCACTACCATCCACAGGATGGATACGAGGTACACCAATAAACTAGCCACTACCATCCACAGGATGGATACGAGGTACACAATAAACTAGCCACTACCATCCACAGGATGGATACGGGGTTTACACAATAAACTAGCCACTACCATCCACAGGATGGATACGAGGTACACAATAAACGGGGCAACTACCATCCACAGGATGGATACGAGGTACACAATAAACTAGCCACTGCCATCCACAGGATGGATAGAAGGTACACAATAAACTAGCCACTACCATCAACAGGATGGATACGAGGTACACAATAAACTAGCACTACCATCCACAGGATGGATACAAGGTACACAATAAACTAGCCACTACCATCCACAGGATGGATACGAGGTACACAATAAAACTAGCACTACCATCCACAGGATGGATACGAGGTACACAATAAACTAGCCACTCCCATCCACAGGATGGATACGAGGTACACCAATAAACTAGCCACTACCATCCACAGGATGGATACAAGGTACACAATAAACTAGCCACTACCATCCACAGGATGGATACGAGGTACACAATAAACTAGCCGCTACCATCCACAGGATGGATACAAGGTACACAATAAACTAGCCACTACCATCCACAGGATGGATACAAGGTACACAATAAACTAGCCACTACCATCCACAGGATGGATACGAGGTACACAATAAACTAGCCACTACCATCCACAGGATGAATACGAGGTAGACAATAAACTAGCCACTACCATCCACAGGATGGATACAAGGTACACAATAAACTAGCCACTACCATCCACAGGATGGTTTACGAGGTACACAATAAACTAGCCACTACCATCCACAGGATGGATAAAAGGTACACAATAAACTAGCAACTACCATCCACAGGATGGATACGAGGTACACAATAAACTAGCCACTACCATCCACAGGATGGATACAAGGTACACAATAAACTAGCCACTACCATCCACAGGATGGATACGAGGTACACAATAAACTAGCCACTACCATCCACAGGATAGATACGAGGTACACAATAAACTGCCACTACCATCCACAGGATGGATACAAGGTACACAATAAGCTAGCCACTACCTCCACAGGATGGTATGGCGTGCACAATAAAGTAGCCGCTGTCGTCCATGGGATAGGCATGCGATGTTTCCAAATAAAAATTTCAGATGCCAAAAAATTCCGGTTTAGCGTAGGCCAGTAGGCCTACCTCAGTGCTCCTCTGCTCATACGTTCTTACGTTCTCCTTTTCAGTGCTGCGGGAGGAGTTCCGCACGGTGCCGCAGGATGTTGCCGCAGCCTCCGGGGACCGAGCTGAGATTCTGTGCGTCCCTCCCCGAGGTCACCCTCCACCTGACCTCTCCTGGACCCGCAACGGTCATCCCATTGCCCTCAAGGAGGAGGCCGAGAGGTTAGTGGGGGGGGAGAAAGAAACGGAAGTGAAGAGGGGAAAAGAAGGGGAAAGTGGTTGGCGGAGAGGGATGAATCTGTGAGTGAGAATGGATGTGGATGAAAGGTGTGGGAGAAGGGTGTAGGGGACGGGTGTGAGAGTGGGAGAGAGAGAAATGCAAAAATGGATGGGAGAGAGAGAGAGCAAGAGAGAGCAAGAGAGGGGCGTGTGTGTGTGTGTGTTGTGTGTTGTGTGTGTGGTGGCCGAATAGATAAAACTTGCGCTTTTCTTGCCCAGTAAGGTAAGCGAAAATTTGTGTATGCAATAATTTCGCAAAATCTTTCTGAACTCAACGAAAAAAAACTATATTTCATTGTGTTCGTTTATTATTAAATTATAAACTTATCTAAAATATAGTTACCTGGATTAGGCTAAATTAAATTGCGCTTGTTATAATAAGGTTAGGTAAGTTTTCTAAGGTTCTTTTGGTACAAAATTTTAGAAAGGACTTAATTTTAAATGAGTTCTTCCTAATTGATCAATTTTACCTATTCGGCACAACACACACACACAGACACACAAACAGACACACACACAGACACACACACACACAACACACACACACACACACACACACACACAACACACACACACACACACACACACACACACACACACTCACACTCACACCACACACAATCACAATAGTGATAGAAGGCCTATGTACGACGACTACGTGATCAGCATCTGGCAGCCTATCATCGCACCACTGCAGTGCAAGTATTGCTCACCATATTGTGGTTGCATGTTGTCAGGTTCTGGATTCTGGACTTCATCACTGTTAGATACTGGTCACTCACATCCTGCAAGCTATTACCAGAATCAAAGTAGAAAATAGCATAGGTAAGGAAGTAACGAGGGAACGCAACACTCCTAAAGCTGAGACAAGCTAAATTTTACAACCTAGTTACTTTTCTGGGTTTATAAGTAGAATTGATAAGTGGTAGAATTACTATTGGTAGTTTTAAAATTACCGGTATTACTACTGTATTTATTACAGTATGAATACTTAGAAGTGGGGCACACATGCAGACATACACAGCACACACTCACACATACACAGGATTCACACCTTACCTGTTACTGACCTGAAATCCCTCACTCTCTTTCTTCTCTCTCTTTCCTCGTCAACACCTATCTCTAATACTTCCTCTACCTATCTCTCTACCTATCTCTTCTCAATACCTGTTTTGCTTCTACTACTCTACCTAAGTCTCTACCTAATCTCTCTCCCCTCACTACCTATCTTTCTAACTACCTCTCTACCTATACCTGTCTCTACTATCTCCCTCCTTACCTTCTCTCTCTACCTATCTCTCTCACTACCTATCTCTCTCTCTACTCTATACTCTCTACCTATCTCTCTCCTTTGCCTATCCCTCTCTCTTCCCTCTCCAACTCTCTGCTCTCCTTTCTCTCCCCTCTAACATCTTTCACCTCTAACACCTCCCCCCTCAACATCTCTTTCCTCTAACGACTCTCCCCCTCTACTCTCTCCTTCTCTCTCTCACTTATCTCTCTCCTCTCTCCCATTTCCCATCTCTCTCTTCCTCTCTCCCCTCTTCTCCTTTCTCTCCCTCTCTCCCTCTCCCTCTCCCTCCCCCTCTACATCTTTCCCTATCCTCCCCCCTTACTTCTCCCTTCATTTCTCTTCCCTCTCCTTTGCCCTCTCTCTTCCCTCTCTTTCCCCTCTCTCCATCTCTCTCTCCCTCTCTCACTCTCATCTCCCCCTTTCCCCATCTCTTCTCCTCTCTCCCTCTCTTCCCCTCTCTCCCTCTCTCCTCTCTCTCTCTCTCTTCTCTTCTCTCTCTCTCTCTCTCTCTCTCTCTCTCTCTCTCTCTCTCTCTCTCTCTCTCTCTCTCTCTCTCTCTCTCTCTCTCTCTCTCTCTCTCTCTCTCTCTCTCTCTCTCTCTCCCTCTCTCTCTCTCTCTCTCTCTATCTCTCGCTCTCCTCTCTCCTCCCTTTTTCCTTCTCACTCTCCCCTCTCTCCTACCTTTCCCTTCTCTCAATTTCCCTCTCTTTCTCTCACTCTCTCTTCCCCTTTTCCCTTCTCACTCTCCCCCTCTCTCTCTCCTACTTTTCCCTTCTCTCTCTTTCTCTCTCTCTCTCACTCTCTCTCACTTTTCTCTTAAAAAAAATGGTGGGGAATCGCAGGACCCAGGGATCAGACGGTTTTGGTAGGGAGGAGTGGATGGAGGTGCAGTGGAAAAGGATGGAACAAGAGTGGGAGAGAAAATTAGGAGAGCTTTCTGAAAAAATGGAGACAGAGCTTTCTGTGAAATTAGAAAAGAGGTTGGAGAAGGAGAAGAAGAATTGGGAGGCACAAGTCGAAACTGCAATAACCAGGATAAGGGTCCTAGAAGATGAGGTAAACAGGCTGAAGCAAGTTACAGGGGCATTGACCAGAGAAGACACAGCATATGAAGCTGAGAGGCCGAACAGGAAGGATGAAGATATGAATTATGCTAAGGCCATATCAACCTGCCAAGAAGGGCCAAGGAGTGAAAGGGGAGAGCAGCTGGGTGCAAGTGGAGAGGGTGTTAGGTTAAATGCAGAGGCACAATGCTACCAAGAGCCACTGGAAAAAAACATGGGAGAAAATGACCACGTACAGACAGGAACCAGAGTCACAGAGGGAGAGCAATGGGAGGAGGAAAGGGCTAAATCAGTGTTTATCATAGGTTTCAGGAGAGAGAGGAAAGGACACACACTGAAGACGGCAGGCAGGAAGAAAGAAGATTGAGAACATTATCAAGGAAATAGGTGAAGAAGAAATGGACGAGATTGTAAATTTTCATAGAATACGGGGGTACTTGAAGGGGAGAAAACGACTGATCAAGCTAATTCTCAGGACTGAAACAGTACGGAACAGGATCCTCCAAGAGAAACCATGGTTGAAATACTCAGAAAAGTACAAGAGCGTGTTCCTAGACAGAGACAGAACACAAACAGAGAGACAGCAGCTGAGGGAGAGGACAAAAAAGCGAAAGGAGCTAGGAAAGAGACAAGGATGGAACCAGCAAAGGTCAGTCAGAGCAGAACAGAGCAAGCACACACACAACTATCCTCAGAACACCATCCCAACACAAACTACAATCCACATGCACAGCTTCCACCCAACACCCAGCTATAGAATCCCACAGTATGCTACCAGGGTCTCCCACCCTCACAGGCCCCCCAAAGCACAGTGTTGGAAAGGAAACTGAAGGTATGGTACACAAAAGGCTGATGGAATAACAAATAAGTGGGATGAGTGGCACAGAAGAGTCAAAGAGGCATCACCGGACATCATAGCTCTCACAGAAACCAAGCTAACAGGCATGATAACAGATGCCATCTTTCCAATGGATACCAGATCCTGAGGAAAGACAGAGATAACAGGGGGGTGGAGGAGTGGCACTGTTGTTCAAAAACCGATGGAATTTTAATGGGCTGGAGAGAGGAGACAGCAGAGAAGCAAGCGATTACATTGTGGGAACACTTCACTCTGGAGGTCCCAAGGTGGTAATTGCAGTGATGTATAACCCACCACAGAACAGCAGGAGTCCATGGCAAGAGTATGACGAGAGCAATAGAGCGATGGTTGACACACTGGCTGCAGTGGCCAGAAGAGCTCATGCATGCAGGGCAAAGCTCCTGATCATCGGCGATTTTAACCACAAGGAGATCGATTGGGAGAACTTGGAGCCACATGGGGGCCAAGACACATGGAGGGCTAAGATGATGGAGGTGGTACTGGAAAATTTCATGCACCAACACATAAGGGACACTACAAGAGAGAGAGGAGAGGATGAACCAGCAAGACTGGACCTAGTATTCACCTTGAGTAGTGCAGATATTGAGGACATCACATACGAAAGACCCCTTGGGGCCAGAGATCGTGTGGTTTTAAGCTTCGAATACACAGTAGAGCTACAAGTGGAGGGGGAAGCAGGAAGGCAAGGACAAATGAAGCCAAACTACAAGAAACGGGACTACATGGGAATGAGGAACTTCCTGAACGGGGCTCAGTGGGACAGAGAACTGGCAGGGAAGCCAGTTAATGAGATGATAGAATATGTAGCAACAATGTGCAAGGAGGCTGAGGAGAGGTTTGTACCCAAGGGTAACAGGAATAATGAAAAAGCCAGGATGAGCCCATGGTTCACCCAAAGGTGCAGGGAGGCAAAAACCAAGTGTGCTAGGGGATGGAAGAAATATAGAAGGCAAAGGACCCAGGAGAATAAGGAGAGCAGTGGTAGAGCCAGAAATGAATATGCACAGATTAAGAAGGGAGGCCCAACGACAATATGAAAACGACATAGCAGCGAAAACCAAATCTGACCCAAAGCTGTTATACAGCCACATCAGGAGGAAAACAAGAGTCAAGGACCAGGTAATCAGGCTAAGGAAGGAAGGAGGAGAGACAACAAGAAATGACCGTGAAGTATATAACGAACTCAACAGTAGATTTAAAGAAGTGTTCACAGAGGAGACAGAAGGGGCTCCAGAAAAACGGAGAGGTGAGGCACACCACCAAGTGCTGGACACAGTACACACAACCAAGGAAGAAATGAAGAGGCTTCTGAGTGAGCTAGATACCTGAAAGGCAATGGGGCCAGATAACATCTCTCCATGGGTCCTGAGAGATGGAGCAGAGGAGCTCTGTTTACCCCTAACAACAATATTCAATACATCTATCGAAACAGGGAGATTGCCTGAGGCATGGAAGACAGCAAATGTAGTCTCAATCTTTAAAAAGGAGGCAGACATGAAGCACTAAACTACAGACAAGTGGATGACATGTATAGTATGCAAAGTCATGGAGAAGATTGTCAGGAGAAGAGTGGTGGAACACCTAGAAAGGAATGATCTCATCAACAGCAGCCAACATGGTTTCAGGGATGGGAAATCCTGTGTCACAAACCTACTGGAGTATTATGACATGGTGACAGCAGTAAGACAAGAGAGAGAGGGGTGGGTGGATTGCATATTCTTGGACTGCAAGAAGGCGTTTGACACAGTTCCACACAAGAGATTAGTGCAAAAACTGGAGGACCAAGCAGGGATAACAGGGAAGGCACTACATTGGATCAGGGAATACTTGTCAGGAAGACAGCAGCGAGTCATGGTACGTGGCGAGGTGTGAGAGTGGGCACCTGTGACCAGCGGGGTCCCACAGGGGTCAGTCCTAGGACCAGTGCTCTTTCTGGTATTTGTGAACACCATGACGGAAGGAATAGACTCCGAAGTGTCCCTGTTTGCAGATGACGTGAAGTTGATGAGAAGAATTCATTCGATCGAAGACCAGGCAGAACTACAAAGGGATCTGGACAGGCTGCAGACCTGGTCCAGCAATTGGCTCCTGGAGTTCAACCCCACCAAGTGCAAAGTCATGAGGATTGGGGAAGGGCAAAGAAGACCGCATATGGAGCACAGTCTAGGGGGCCAGAGACTACAAACCTCACTCAAGGAAAAAGATCTTGGGGTGAGTATAACACCAGGCACATCTCCTGAAGCGCACATCAACCAAATAACTGCTGCAGCATGTGGGTGCCTTGCAAACCTCAGAACAGCATTCCGACATCTTAATAAGGAATCGTTCAGGACCCTGTACACCGTGTACGCAGGGCCGGATTACCGCATAGGCAAACGAGGCATTTGCCTAGGGCCCCGCGCATTTGGGGGCCCCGCGCGGGGTTTCTCCCCGCAATGGTGAAGTAAAGGGGTTCCCAAAAAACATTTTGGGGGGAAAAAAATTTTTTAAAATTAAATAAACAAAAAATAAATTGAAAAAAATAAAATAAAATTTTTCCCTAAATTTTAATGGAATAAGGGGTTTTTTTACCAGAAAAGCGGGTTTTTTGCTAAGGGGAATGGGAGTTTCCTTTTTTTTCCTTATAACCGATTTAGA